GGCACCAGCTAAATACCTTCTTTGATATCAAGAATCTATAATATTTATATGATGTTAAACATTCTTAGGGTCTTAAACTCATTCCTTTTAATCAAGACAGAACACTTACTGCCTTTACCGTTCAGTATGATGGCACCATCCCGACTTCAATCTCTTTCGATCTCATCAGCACACTGTTAAACTGTTCAGACAGAACACTTACTGCCTTTACCGTTCAGTATGATGGCACCAGCTAAATACCTTCTTTGATAACAAGAATCTATAATATTTATATGAAGTTAAACATTCTTAATGTCTTAATCTCATTCCTTTTAATCAAAGTAATCTAAATGATAGTGAGAGTACATATAAGGTACAATATTGACGTGTACTGATCGCAGTATTCCCAATTAGTTATTTCGGTCGTGTTTTCTGAAAGGTCGCAGCCTCAACTGCAAATGGAAATGTTTCCAGGTAGGTAAATGAGAATTATTTATATGGTTACAAAACCGACCTGGAAAGAACGATTGTATCTAGGTACCTTTATTAGTGTTTCTTTTTGTGAGCGAGTTTTATTTATTCCAGAAACTCCCGGCGGGCTGTGGCGTGATCGCTAAGCTTCCATTGGAAGGAGGCCAATCAATTTCGGAAACTCTATTGATTTCGAAATCTTTCTAGATACCTACGTGGAAATGCACTTGTGTGCAATACGTACATTTTGTTATGTTATTAACTTTCAAAAGTTTTTCAGCTTCCACAATACTTCTTACGTTTGCATTAGCCCAATCAAAAATTGTTCTTATATTTCATCATCATAAGGTCGTCAGTCCTCTGGTTGGACACGTACCTCCACTCTTTCCTATCCTGAACTAAACTTCGCATTTCCCCAAAACTAGAACAACCCACATCTATTTGCGAACAGTAATCTAATCTAGGTCTACCTCTACCCCTCCTAACTCCTGTTTCTGCCTCTAATATGTCTCTGACTATACCCTTATGCCTGAGAAGGTGTTATGTTAAAATGTAAATACAAATACTAGTAAGTATTTAAATATATTTTTTGAATTAATAATGAGCACTTACTCAATAAAAATGCATAACTAACCAACCAACGTATAATACGATGTTATGCATATCTATAAATACCAGTGGCGTAATTGGAAAAGACAAATATTAAAAAAAACCTAAATGGTCAGATGACAGAAAAAATTAAATATTTGTTGTATTTGCATATGTGAAAATATTCCTAATATTTTTTTAGTTATTCGTAATAATAAAAAATACAGTTGAATATACGGAGATGCGAGACTGAATAATTATTATGGTACATACATCGCAGAATTTTCCACATACTTATAAGGACTTGAATACTCCTTCTTTAGCGTCAGCAATCGACCTGAAGGCTATAAAAAGCAAAATTTAGCTGAGATTAATGGCAATATAACATCATTCGAAACCACATTAAAATCCTTCAGAACTGCCAAAAAAATTAGATGGCTATGTATCATTGTGGCCTTATTACTAAAATTTATAAATAAAATCATTATATGCCTTCAGATCTACACNAGGGTGTTATGAAAATCAATAAAAAGAAAGGGAAGGGAAGAATTTAAATTAGATTCGCAAAAACAGTTAAGGATATGGTAGGCCGTAGTTGTGAAGAAGGCGAATATTCATTCAGGATTGGAATGAGTGGAGGTGTCTGTATTCGGACTGACTGACTTATAACGATGATCTAAAATTATTAATTGCTAATCTTTAACTTGGTGGGACGTACAAATGTTGCATTTCTATACCTAATCGTAAATTTTACCATCAATACGGACGAAATATCCCTCGGCTTTTCTTCGTACTGCGATGAATAAGCATTGAAATGAAATTTTACTGCACGGACTTGAAACGAAAAACTTTCTTATTATGCTTTGGACAATAACAAATGTATTCTTTTGTTGTTCCAAAATTTCTACCCGACTAAACTGTAAGAGTACCACCACTGCCATTAATACCGCTTTAGAACACCGAATGCCAAAGGAAGAAAGAGAGAGAAAGCAAAACGGTTGTATAATAGGAAATAAAACGCCTGAACTTTTCTAAATTCATTGTTCCGATCGATATGAATCCTACTTAAATTTTTATAGTCGAAAGAACCGACTAGATGTGCCAGCCGTGTCGTTTATCTTATTCGGGGTGGATTGATGTGTTTACAATGACAGATAGAGGGCCCTGATGAACTAAGCTGAAGTACTGTTTTCGACAGGGCGCTAACAAGGGAAAAAGGGAACTCAAACGGCAAGTTCAACGTTCAGCGCTTTAGATCGAATCAGATAAAAATGTTGTCGTTTGCATTTACTAACTGTCAGGAAAACGATCATTTTGGAGTCTCGTTTTTACCAATTTGCTGGATACATGAAATATAAAATTATTAGTTTACTTATTATACCTGATTTTCATCTGAACCTCTAATGTATCTACGTACTAATTAGTATGTATAGACATTGAAAATTGAAAGGAAATTGTAGATATATTTTCGCTATGCTTTTGAACAACATTGGAGGAAATATCCTAATATTTAAGCCCGTGTTGCTTGATTACGATAAATCAAATTTATCTTTAAGTTATAATTATTTATAGTAACTGGAGCTTCATTTTGTCAAACGTAGATCTCGACTTCTATCTCTTTGGATCTCATCAGCACACTGTTAAACTGTTCAGACAGAACACTTACTGCCTTTACCGTTCAGTATGATGGCACCAGCTAAATACCTTCTTTGATATCAAGAATCTATAATATTTATATGATGTTAAACATTCTTAGGGTCTTAAACTCATTCCTTTTAATCAAAATAATCTAAATGACAGTGAGAAATGAAATTATAGATATATTTTCGCTATGCTTTTGAACAACATTGGAGAAAATATCCTAAAATTTAAGCCCGTGTTTCTTGATTACAATTAATCAAATTTATCTTATAATTACAATCCCATTTAATATTAAATTTCATCTTATCCGTTATTCCCTACTATTTCATGTAAGATATTCGAATTTCTTTCTTTTCAAAAAAATAATTTTTCTTTGTGCTACTGCATGCTTCCATTTAAATCATGATGATATATATATGGTGATGTGAATTTTCAGCTTTCTTTTTTCCTTAAATGCGCCCCTCCTCTTCTTACGTCACTGCATTTTGTATGTCTATATTCACTCTTCACCCTTCCTCCTCTAACACGTTTATCACATTCGGTTCTTTTCTAATAAACTGTGACAGAAATTTTGGAAAATTACAGATCATTGCACAATCAACACACTATTTATTATTTTGCTTTTCCCATTGTCTGTAAGTATTTCAAATTTTATCTTTTTCACGATTTCGAATTTAGGAATTTCATACATTCGAGTTATAGTACAAGAAAACCACAAAAGTAATAAAATAATTTAGTAAACAATGACCGTTGTTAATTATTCGGAAAAAATTTTACCGGGTCTGAAACTTTCCATATGAGAAAATAAAGGTGCAAAAAGTCCATTTTAATAATTTAACATCTTAACAACAATACCAACAATAGCTATAGTACCTGGGTAATTGCAGCATTGTGAACAGAATGCTTTTGTTCAAAAACACAATATACGTATATTCATTATTGTTCATTGTCGTTACCTGCCAGAAGAAGTTTCATTAATTTGTTTAAAATATTCAAACCTACGTTAGAAACCAGTAAACAGTATACATATAAGTATGAGTATACAATAAGAACTACTGTTTCTTGTATTTACGTCGGATATCTTGCTTCCTACAGGACTCTAGCGTTTTAGGGTGTGGCTGGGAAAAATCCAGAGTAGCGTGGAACTGTCGGTGTATCCCCCACAAAAAAATAGTTTTTATTTCAGTTACTAATCCATAAATTGACTTGACTTAGCAAATTTTGAGTATATAGATTAGATAGAAGATAGAAGAAATAATTAGTAAATAAACAGCATGGTCTACATACGTCAATAGCTTTTATATATAAAAATTGTTGCGTCAAAGTTGGACAAAGCAAATAAAAAAGTTTACCTACTCTAAATAATTTCATGAAACTGTTATTTAACTANTTCGGAAAAACAAGCCGGTTCGTTCCGGTTTTTGTTCCGGTTCGGGTTCGGTTCAAACCCTTGTTTATAATAATACAAATAAAAATTCGTCAAAAATTAGAAAAAAAAATCAGCAATTCTTTTTAATTATTTTTTCAATACGTCAGCCAATTCTCCTTATCAGAAATCATCCTTAGTTCCGGAACGCGTTCCTGTCCAAAAAGGAAGTACCGGAACGACGTTCCGGAGCGTTCCGGCTCGACAACACCACTGACAATGACTGATGAATCAATAAAAGGTACTAATTGAATGATTTCATTGTTTTCAGTTGGACAGTGGATCCAAATCATTGGCTGTATAAGAACGAGTCTGACGAGCCCCTTATATGCGGTAATGTAACAGGCGCACGCCACTGTCCTCCTTCCCATACTTGTCTCTGTGCCGGCGAAAATCCAAATCATGGTTATACCAGTTTCGACAATTTTTTGTGGTCGATGCTTACCACGTTTCAATTAATTACTTTAGATTACTGGGAGAACGTATACAATATGGTAAGTGATTGAGTGATTGTTCTCTCCTTGCATTAGTTCAAATTACAGAAATCGTTAAATATCTACAACGTATACTTAAGTTTAATGCGTCTGCGAATTCGTTGAATTTATGGATCATAAAGTTTAAACCTATAATTTAAGGATACAAGCGATAGCCACTATAAAATGTTTAGACCGTTTATTACCAATTTTTCAACTTAAATAACAAGAAAAATGTCAACCAGGATATAATAGTTTTATTCGCTGTTTATTAGATTACATAAAAATACCATGTAGTAGTATATACTTATAGCATTTCTCATGCACATTAAATGAAAAAGTTTCCCAGATCGTTTTGGCTATTTATTTGAAGTATAAGACGTTAGTAATAACAATAACAACTTTTACTAACAATTTTCTAGTTGATTTTCTACGGAAATGCAGATGTAGTCCTATTTGTAGCTTGTGAGTGTTAGCCTATACTTTAGAAAAAAAAATTTCTTTCATTTTTCTATAATTTCCTTCTTTTGGCGTATATCTGATATGATTGTTTTGTTTTTAACTATAATACATTACTTCAGTATTTCATTATTTTCAACAAAATTGTGTCGTAAATAACAAAAAGACATTAATTGTCGTAAAACAATTACAAATGAATGAAAAAAATCACATTGCTATTTATTCGTACGGACATACTTACAAATATTTATAAGTAATTAATTTAGTAATTAAACTTGTTCTTTCAAATGATTAATTTGGCAAATATTTGTCTAAGATAGGATAATATCAATTTCTAATTCGAACAAAAACAACTGACTTTTCTGTATGTTTACTTCAAGATGCTGTATCTCAAGTATACCAAGCACGTCTTCATTTTGTTGAACTCACTTTTAATACGTCCCTTTACGTGGGCTAGGGGTTAGTATTTGGCTAAACTCCAAAGCTACCTTTTTCCAATATCTTCATTTCATAAAGTTTGAGCACATGTGACGGAAACAAATTTGGTGTTATTTTTATCACACATTCTTTGCTGACCTAGTAAACAAAAATAGTTTTTCATACTTTTTGATGGCTTTTCCACGTATTGGATAGCCTTGTCCAGTTAAACAGATTTAGCTATACAATTTTTTAATTTCCTAGTTATTGGGAAATTATTGTAATACATCAAAATCCTAGTTCTTTTTTTCATTCATTCATTCATTTTTAAATTGTGTAAATCATTTAAATTAATGAACCAACCCAATACTACAATGCTTGTTGAAGTGCACCCATTTATATAGGTTTACCTGACTTCCAAACTTCATTAAAGTGTTAATAAATAAACCCTGATCAAAGAAAAAAGATACCGATTAAAGTAGCAAGACAGACAAAAAAAAAATACGAAATCAGTTTTTCTTTTAACGTTTTCTATTCTTCTGAAAGCTTTTTAGTTCGACATATTTAAATTGCCGTTACATGCCTGGAGAAACGTTTTTTCATTATCGAGACAGTTTCCCAGAAGCATTTTACCGATAGAATATAATAAAAGGAACGGAAATTTGCAGTCGGTCAATTCAAATAACCTTTTAGTCCAGTCGTTCGTCGAAACTTCTTTAATAAAAGTTGTTTCAAGCTTTTGAATTTATACCTGCTTTAATCATATTCCAATCTTTCCCTAAAACATTTCGCATCCTTTATTAGAACCATCTACCACCCTATCTCTCCTTATTCTGATAAGGATACCCATAGAGCCCTTTGTTCTCCTACTGTTTCTAACACTATCTCATTTTTAAGCCTTTCTCTCCGCGAGTATTTTCATCATAACACCACCTTGCGATATCCTTTGTCCTATATCTATAGGCGCAATTGGCATCTAACTGTTTTGCGGGTACTTGATTATTTTGTAGTTTTAGTATTGAAAATACTACAAGGGTGGGTGGTGTATATGCTATGTACCTCCTGAAAAATAAAATCATCAAGCGACAATCTGACGGTCGATCGGAGTCGACGGTTGAAGGTTGATGCTAGGTCCATTACTAGGACATAAGTAACATAAACACAAGCACAAAGGACAAAAATTCGATTATTGGAGTATAATTCTGACTTGCAAGTCCTTGTGGAAGAATGCAACTGTAAGGACCATATCTCAAAGAAATGATTTTTTATGACTTAGCGTTCGTTAATACTTTTGATTTGCACATCGGGAACTACCAGAATCCAAAGTTTGAAGTAGTTTGACAAAGGGCAAGTTTCCGTAAGGGTGTAGCGAGGACCATTTAACTATTTCAAGTTATTTTGCTGTGACAGTTTCACATCATCATAAATGCGTAGATATTTAAATAATTTTACTTTATTTTACGAATTATTTTTTTCTGAATTATCCCACTTATTACTATCGCTTTTTCTATTATAAAATATCTGACTTCTTACACGTACATATACAAAATTATACAGTAGAGTGTTATTACTTTTCCATTTCTTTGGGTTTGCGTCGATTGAATAAATACTGAATACTTAATAGGAATAAAGTCAAAGGAGATATATAATATCTAAACAGACGTTAATAAATTAGTTTTGTTGAATGCGGTAAACGGTAATGACTGCAGTTAAATTGCTTTAAATTAACGCCAAGAACGAACAGCATTTCTCGGAAAATTAATCCTTAATATTTTGTATATAACCGCTAATAAACAGGTAGATAGAACACCATTTGTTTTATCACACGAAAATTATTCCGTTTCTGTTAAACCACAAATATCATGTACAGCAAACTTATACCTAAATACATGTACCTGTAATATACAAACATATACGTATGTATTAAATGTAATGGCCTACTGCGTTTCATGCACCAACAGAATGTAACATTATTCGCTTTTGTGCAATTGAGCGGACAATTAGAACCAAATGTTCTATTGACGATTGATGTTAAAATATTACCAGTCAGTATTACGTTAACGTCAAATACGTGTTTTATACTTATAAATGAATATCCTGACTCCATTCGCAATTTTTTAATAAGCCTATTCGAGGTTCTCCTTGACGTATGTCCTTATCTATACATCCTTTACCCAATAATAGCTTAGCATTTTTTTGCAATTTGAAATACATTTCCGTCAACTTTTTGGTTTGTATAACAATAAAATTAAATTAATTACATCAATTAATTCTTTTTGTTTGTAATATGTGTGTTCTGTATTGCGTTTTTATCAAACATATGTGCCAATAAAAGAAAAAATTTAAATATAAATATAGTGCTGCTTTTTTAGAATGGAGAATGTTAATGTTGCAACCAAAAATATTTAACTTAACAAATACCTCTCAAAAAGTCAAAAAAAAACATCGAAACGTCGAAAATTTGTTAATAAATTGTATTAGTTATCTGAGCAGTTCGGATAAACATTTCATCATCATAAGGTCGTCAGTCCTAAGACTGGTTGGACACGTACCTCCACTCTTTTCTATCCTGAGCTAAACTTCGCATTTCCCTAAAACTAGAACAGTCCACATCCTTAACTATTTGCGAACAGTAATCTAATCGAGGTCTACCTCTACCCCTCCTAACTCCTGTTTCTGCCTCTAATATGTCTCTGACTAGACCTTCATGCCTGAGAAGGTGTCCTACCAACCTATCTCGCCTATTTTTTATTGACTTCCA